TTTTCTTTTGTGTTTTCCAAACTATATAAACAAAAGCTTTGTGTGTTTTGAAACAATGCATTAATCATTGATTCATAACCGACTGAAAGTGAAATTTCATGGCCAGAAATCACGGACATGATTATTCTACCTTACTAACTTTGCATATCCGATTTAATACATAACCCGTTGAAATATGGGTTCGATAGTAAACAGTTGATTCTATTACGCGATGCTTCAAATCGCAAAATCAGAGATTATTGGTAGTCGTTTGCAGTTTGCCTCGATTGCTGGTTGCAGAACACGGTATATCGTGTAGTGTTTGCCTGGTGTAAGTTTACTTACTTCCTATTCTGCATTTTCGTTTGTTTCTAGTGGCTATAGACAGTGCGGTATCCTTATATATAAAATATAAATAGACAAATTCCGTACAAACTAACCTCTGTAGAAAAACTGAAAATGCAGAATGGTCACTAACTAAAACCAAGTGGCAAAATTACGCTAAATACTTCGACGTACAGACTTGATTTATAGCCAGCGACTGAAACAAGCTACAAACGACCTACCATATTCTCGGATTTTGGGATTTACAGCATCGCGTAATCAATAATTTACTGTTTACTGCAGAAGCCATATTTCAGCGTGATATGCAAATTTAATGTCTGGCCACATGTGTACTGTATTTACATGAGTTTTAGTTTTGATGAAACATACATGACCTTAAATGATTGCTCCCATCTTCGTCAGAAGTGAAACCCTCAGTTTAAAACGTAACTCTAAAAAAACGGCGAGTGTAATTTTTGGGGAAAACGTCGCGTGTAATTATTGCATTGAAAAAACGTCGCGTGTAATTATTGCATCATAACTGAAAAAAACGTCGCGTGTAATACTGAAGAAAAAAACGGCGAGTGTAATTTTGAAGGAAAAAAACGACGAGTGTAAAGGTAAAAAAACGGCGAGTGTTTACAGTCATGGCCCTTCTCGGCCATCGTAGATTTTAGCTGATTCGTGCCAAACTTCGCTCTACACATAAATAATATCGATTGAGAAGTCCTTTGGCTATTTATTTGTTTCGAAGACTTGTATATTTCATTAAAGAATATCTCGCCACTCCTTGACGAGTAGCTGTCAAATACTGCCAAATTTTGTCGTCACGTGACCGGCCCGGACCAGGGCTTCCTCGTGTCTCGCCTCGTCTTCACACTGAAGCCCTGGGAACGAGGTTGCAATGGCTGAAGGCCACGTGTGCGCCGAACATACCATGCACGCATGAGGGGGGGGGGGGGTGTACTCCCCCAGAAAATTTTTGAAATTTGAAGCACAGAAATGCCATTTCCTGCATTCTGAGCATCCAAATTTGCTCTAAAATTTATGCTAACTATACTTGTATTTGAAATAAAAGAAGGAAAAAATGCACAAAAGTAAAAAAGAATATTAACCGTAATTTATCATTATACTTATTAGAGGGGGATACCAATGGCCGAAGGCCACGTGTGTGGGGGCATAATCTCCAGAAAATTTTTCAAATTTGAAACCTGGAAATGCTCTTTCCTGCATTCTGAGCAACCAAAAAAATAAAAAATTATTAACAATAATTTATCATTACTTAGTGGTAGAAAAACGTAACAATTTAGATCGATTTTGTTAAACAAGGACAAAGGATAAAGCCTAAAACTTACTTTCCGTTTATTTATTTGTTATTCTTCGCTGTTTTGTTGGTATAAATTTAGGAAAAAGGGACTTTTCCTGGGGGGGGGGGCAAAATGTGATTTCGTGGGGGGCACAAGGGGGGACTGGGGGGCAAATGCCCCCAGCTTGTATGTTAAAAAGGACCTGGGGGTGTGTGTTGTTGGTTGTGACGGACACTAAAGAGTTTTTAGAAGAAAAATTGTAAAATATGTTTGTCGCAACATAAAAGACACCCCTGATGGGACTCGAACCCACAACCTTTGAATTAGAAGTCCAACGCGGTAAATCATTGCGCCACGGGGGTTCGTCCACCGCCTTCGGTGTATACGTCGATTATACCTATGATTATACCAATCTGGTGTTACAGTCTGCACGGGCACGTACGAGTTGTGAATCTGTCACCCGTATCCTTGTTTATCATCACCCTACTACTCTACTAGACAACTCCAAAATTTATAGTATACTCAAAATATAGCCTAATGGCGGCGCGCGAACCCTCCGTGGCGTAATGTATTAGCGCAGTCAGACTTCACAATTATAAAGATTTTATTCTTGCTATATTGAAATTCTCGTATTGAAATTAGTAATATACTGATATTTATTGCGTGTATCACGAATTAATAATATATGGCCCATATATTTATATTAAAATGATGTGTTGTAAATACGCGCATATAAATGCTACTGACTATACAAATCGTCAGTGGTTTGTAGTGCGATATAAATGCAAGAAATATACAACCTGAGTTGTGGTATACCCCCGTGGCGCAATGGATCAGCGCGTTGGACTTCTAATTCAAAGGTTGTGGGTTCGAGTCCCATCGGGGGTGTCCATTTTGTGTCCACAACAATTTTTTTTATAAATGCTCTTGAAGTTTTTTTTCACCAACAGTTTACTCAACGGAACCAAAATCGAAACAAAATAATTTTGTGTTGTTGGTTTTTAGTCGATTTTTAAACTATAAAATGTCCTTCAAATTTGTCGTGAATCGCTTTTTAGGCCTGGTGACCAATATTGCATCAACTGCGCCAGTAATCATTGTTGTCAGCTGTGTTTCCATGGAAACTGTTAAAAATTACAATTTTCATGTTTATAGTCTTTAGATGGAGGAATTTATAAAATGGCTCATAAATACGACCTTTTGCTTGTGAACACTGACCGAGAAGGCAATAGAAAGCAAATACCATGGTAGTATTAACTTCTTTAACTTTTTTCTTATTCACATATTATATACTGTTGTTCTGATTTTGGGCTTAATGTTTCAGTATTTTATATATACATATATATATATATATATATATATATATATATATATATATATATATATATATATATATATATATATATATATATATATATATATATATATATATATATATATATATATATATATATATATATATATATATATATATATATGTTGAGTACATACTGTATGAGTATTTTCTCTTTTTTTAATTAATAGTTTATAGTCCGAATGTGCCTCCACTGACATTGGAGATCTGGGACTCCCGACTGCCTTGTCCTCGATATGGGGCAGATGGGAATTGAGAGTCCCAGATTGCAGTAATATGATGCAGCTTGATAAATATTACTGTCGTTCCAATTGAAGTGTTGCTGAAATATTGATTCAATACATTACCTCAGGACGAATTCATTTCATCAAGTTCCTTGAGATATTCATACACTTCCTAGTATAATTGTAAACTTCCTGTTGAATAGTTTGAATGCACCAATCACCTTTGGTTGTTTGTGCAACTAACCAATCATAAATAGAAAGGAAGTGACCAGAAATGATCAAATACTTGGAATTGGCTCTTTCACAGGAAGTGTATGAATATCTCGAGGAACTTGATCAAATGAATTGGTCAGCCCGAGGTAATGTATTGAATCAATATTTCAGCAACACTTCAATTGGAAGGACAGTAACCCATTGAGCACCAGTGCTCTTTCCTTGTAAAATCATGTAGTGTTATAGACAGAGTAAATTATTATAATAAAGTTGGGCACATTGGGGTACAACACGGTTTCCATTTGATCGTTAGTTGTCGCTGGCACAACAAGCGGTTGAAATAGTCTAATATAATAATAGTCTTTTTGTGTGTTATGCAAATCAGTCTTAATGGTTTCAGAGTTTTTTGTTGACACTATTACATCAGCCACTTGTCGTGCCAGCGACAACTAACGACCAAATGGAAACTAGGCTTAACTAGACACATGGGCAGCTAGTCTGATTAACCTATATGCAGCGCCAGCATCCCTGTGCCCAAAAGTGCCCTACATTATTATATAATTATTGATGTTGACAAATGTACGAAATGCTTGATAACTTGGGAACGAGATGAGCTATAAATAAATTGTTAAGGCCATGGCTTCATTATAAATTTTCAAGATACTTTCAAGTGATTGATACATAAAAATTAGGGAGAAAATTTCATATCATGTGCACTAATTTATGTTTCGTACTAACTGTTTTGTTCATGTAAGGACTCTTTGAATACCCTACTTAGTAATTTTTAATGAAGCTTTTAATTTGAAGTCAAAGTGGTCACCTTCACTGATTTGTCTAATTTTATATAGTTTTGACTCCATGTAGATAAAGTCTGCAGACTTTAACACAGACATTCCAACTCTCTCGATTTTACCGGGAGTCTCCCGAACATTCATATAATCTCCTGGTCTCCCGATTTTTATCAAATTCTCCCGATTTTTCAGAATATTCGGGAAATATCGTAAACAAATCATAATAGTCATTTTAGCAACATAATAGTCTGTTTTGACCTTTTTATGAAGTTAATTTATGACAATTTATAGGATCACTTATAACAACATCTTCCCAAAATGCAGGAAATGCCATTTCAGAAGACTTAATTTTTAAAATTTTTCACAGAAGAACAAGATTTCAATTCACTGAACAGTCTCCCTAAATTTTACCTCGAGTAGTTGGAATATCTGTTAACAGGATACTAAATGTAGTAAAATTATCTTAACCTTTGTGCATGAAGGTTAGGGACCGGTCATTTATTAGAGGGGGGGGGTGGTGCAAATGGGGAGGGGGTCATACCTTTTTGTGCACTTGAAAATGGGGGGTTGCATAAAATTCTGCAACCATTTTTGGGGGGTCATACATTTTTGTGCATTCCATTTTCCTATATATTCTACAAAAGAAAACAGCACTGAAGGGATCAACCACAGTCAAATTTTTAATATTTATATGAAAACAAAACAATGTTGTGGCAACTACAAGCATAGGCGTACGAGACGGGGGGCAGCAGGGGGGGGCAGCTGCCCCCCCCCCAAAAGATTACAAAGTCGAAAAGTCGGACAAATGTTCAACAAAAGTCGGGCAAAAGTCAGGCAAACCAAGCTAGTTGAGCAATATTATCTTCACAGTCGTGCAATATTGGGTTATTATAAAAATAAATGGGATAAATTCTGCGAATTTTGCGGGAAATAATGTAAATTTTGCAATGTTTGGGAAAATTTATTTGATGTTCCAAAAAATTGAGGTGTGTCCGAAAAATTTTTGGACCCCTAAAATGGTACACTGACCGAAATTTTTTTGGCGAAGCGGGGAGGGGGGGGGAGGTCGCCAAAATTTATTGTTCCAGAAAAAAAATTATAAATATTGTAACTGAGGGTGGGCCATGCCATTTCATGTGCACTCCCTTGGGGGGCCACATTATTTTATGCAGTGACATGAGCAGGGCCATATGAAATTATGTAGAGGAAAATGAAAATCCACCAGCCCCCCTTCCCCCCCTCTAATAAATGACCGGTCCCTTAAGGCTATTTTACTAAATTTAGTATCCTGTTTTTGAAGGTACAGAGAAAGACTAAAAACAAAATATGTCAACCCCAAAAAGTCAAAACAATGTTCAGGCACAATGGTTGGGTCATCATGGACATTTATAGAGAAAGGTTTAGATGATTTTCGAGATGGTGTACCACCTGATATCGCCGCTGACAAGATGGTCTTAAAAGTGAGTAACTTATAGTAGACTAGAATATTTTATTTTACAATATTATTATACCTGTCTTTAATGAATAGTAGATTAACATTAATCACAAGATAATATAACTAGTATTAATCTATCATTTTGTGTACGGTGCTGGAGTATGCTATTGCATTGTTGTGAACAAGCTTTTGTTAACCAGTAGGGATGCAACTACCTGAAAAATAT